TCTACGAACTCCTCCCTCTGTCCACCAGACTCCTTGAGAGAGGTTCAAGAGGAAGCTCTTTGCTACAGCCACAGCTGACCATTTCATAACAAGGATGAAGACATTGTTTGAAGAGATCAAAGCATCAATTAAAAATAACTATAACCAAGATTGATCATTTTGGAGTCCCATTCTTCCTTGGGGAGGTGTTTTTACTATCAAAGCTGGCCGCAAAGCAGTATCTTGTAGACCACTCTATATAGAAATAAGACTGAAAAGTACCTGCACCATAGATGGATTCTTGATGTTGTTGTATGTCATTCTTAATGAGAATGAAAATTTCCCCAGGGAAGTCTCTCTTCATTTTGATAGAGAGTTTGTAGACTGTTTTCTTTATTTAATGGACACCTACAGTTTTACAACTGTGAAGCTACTTTGGATTTGGGACAAGATGGAAAAACAGCAATACAAATCTGAAGTTCATAAAGCTTCATTAGTAATTGATTGGGAATAAGCATGATAATTTTACAAAAAAATCTCAAAAATCTCATGTCTACCATTCAAGAAAGTTACTGTTCCAACTGCTGATGCCCGATTCAAGTGCAGAAAGATCAGCAGTGCTGAATTAATAGAAATCCTCCCCAAGAAATTCCAAGTGGAAATTTGATACAACTGGCTGTGGATGGGTTATTCTGTTCCAAGATTGAATTATGTGAAGAGCATGGGTGTGGCGGCTTAAAAGAATTTTCCCAACGAGTTTTCTGCCATGGAGCATTGCCTTTTGTTGTCTTAAATATGCAACATTGGAAATCTGAAGATCTGGCATATGTACCCTATTACTTGGATTTATCTGGTCACAAATACTTGTTGGAAGGTGCCATGTTATTTAACAAAGAAACATCATTCTTCTGCAGCTTTCCAGATTGATGGACATTGGATGCACTATGATGGCCTCAGAAATGTGAATTTAATTTTGTTAAATAAAGAGAGTTTCTCAGAGTTTCTCGTCTTGTCATCATTGGTTTATATTCGAGCGACAGAGAAATAAATAGAGACTGATGCTAAATTAAATTGTTTTCCCACCTGCCCATGCTCCCCCAAGATGAAGGACTTTTATTTTGTGTATACTTGGTATCCAAGGAAAGAGTTCAACTATACTAGTTTCAAAGGTGTATTTCCCAGTGTTTAGCTCCAGGTAAATGTTTTATATCAAAGATCTATGCAAAAAAAAATTGTATTTCTTTTTTTATATTTCCTGGATTATTTTCATACAAGCATATTTTATGTTAAATAAAATATATCTGTAGTCTTTGTATTTTGTTAATATGTACCACAAACATTTTTACAGTTGTATCCTTAAATCTAAGAAAATACTTTGTCACTTGAATTCTAAATTATTTTTTTTTTGGATATCCAAGTAAAACCTGGGTAAAAGTCAGTATTTTAATTTATATAAATTTAAAAGTTTAAGATATATCTGACTATATTTCTTTGTCCTACCTCAACTGTA